TATTAACATATTGTATGCAAGTACTATTCAAGATCCGTTGAATGTTCAGTACACACTGAAGAAGGTTACAGGGACGACCGAAATATATATATATATATATATCATACCATTGTTATTGCTAATAGGTATAAACCTAGTTCTGCGCAATAAATTAAAAATGTTACCCGTTATTATCAGTAGCAGTGAATGTAAAGCTGTAAATGCCCTCGTGTTCAGCAGTGAACGTAAGGTCTGCCGTGACGGTTTTTTTGTTTCGTTCATATGACATTTCCATTTCAACTGGATAATTGCCTTGAATCTCAGTTATACTAAAACGTAAACAAAAGAATTGCCAGCATATGTCAGTAAGTTGTTTTTTTAAATATTCTATATTGCTTATGATTGTCTTTTTGTTAATGTGATACAACACATTGTCAGGCCTGCCTTTGTTGTATTTCCTCCATCTTTATTTGTTATTTTATTGACGGTGGAAAATAAAGATTGATTGAAGTTTCATTATGGCATTTTGAATGTTAATCTAATGATAAATATGCCTATTAGGACTACAATATGGATCATTTACATTGGAGATCACAATTCATAGGGATCAGTTAAATTGGACATCACAATTCATGTGGATCAGTTACATTGGAGATCACAATACATATAGATCAGTTAAATTGGAGATCAAAATTCATGTGGATCAGTTACATTTGAGATCACATTTCATATGGATTAGTTACATTGGAGATCACAATTCATAGGGATCAGGTACATTGAGATCACAATTCATATGGATCAGTTACATTAGAGATCAAAATTCATATGGATCAGTTACATTAGAGATCACAATTCATATGGATCAATTATATTGAGATCACATTTTAATATGCCTCAGTTACATGGGAGATCATAATTCATATGGATCAGTTAAATTGGAGATCACAATTCATATGGATCAGTTACATGAGAGATCACAATTATATGGATCAGTTAAATTGGAGATCCCACTTCATATGGATCAATTACTGGGAGATCACAATTCATATGGATCAGTTACATTAGAGATCACAATTCATATAGATCAGTTATATTGAGATCACAATTCATATGCCTCAGTTACATGGGAGATCATAATTCATATGGATCAGTTAAATTGGAGATCACAATACATATAGATCAGTTAAATTGGAGATCAAAATTCATGTGGATCAGTTAAATTGGAGATCCCACTTCATATGGATCAATTACTGGGAGATCACAATTCATATGGATCAGTTACATTAGAGATCACAATTCATATAGATCAGTTATATTGAGATCACAATTCATATGCCTCAGTTACATGGGAGATCATAATTCATATGGATCAGTTAAATTGGAGATCACAATTCATATGGATCAGTTACATGAGAGATCACAATTCATATGGATCAGTTAAATTCGAGATCCCCCTTCATATGGATCAGTTACATGAGAGATCACAATTATATGGATCAGTTAAATTGGAGATCCCACTTCATATGGATCAATTACTGGGAGATCACAATTCATATGGATCAGTTACATTAGAGATCACAATTCATATAGATCAGTATATTGAGATCACAATTCATATGCCTCAGTTACATGGGAGATCATAATTCATATGGATCAGTTAAATTGGAGATCACAATTCATATGGATCAGTTACATGAGAGATCACAATTATATGGATCAGTTAAATTGGAGATCCCACTTCATATGGATCAATTACTGGGAGATCACAATTCATATGGATCAGTTACATTAGAGATCACAATTCATATAGATCAGTTATATTGAGATCACAATTCATATGCCTCAGTTACATGGGAGATCATAATTCATATGGATCAGTTAAATTGGAGATCACAATTCATATGGATCAGTTACATGAGAGATCACAATTATATGGATCAGTTAAATTGGAGATCCCACTTCATATGGATCAATTACTGGGAGATCACAATTCATATGGATCAGTTACATTAGAGATCACAATTCATATAGATCAGTTATATTGAGATCACAATTCATATGCCTCAGTTACATGGGAGATCATAATTCATATGGATCAGTTAAATTGGAGATCACAATTCATATGGATCAGTTACATGAGAGATCACAATTATATGGATCAGTTAAATTGGAGATCCCACTTCATATGGATCAATTACTGGGAGATCACAATTCATATGGATCAGTTACATTAGAGATCACAATTCATATAGATCAGTTATATTGAGATCACAATTCATATGCCTCAGTTACATGGGAGATCATAATTCATATGGATCAGTTAAATTGGAGATCACAATTCATATGGATCAGTTACATGAGAGATCACAATTATATGGATCAGTTAAATTGGAGATCCCACTTCATATGGATCAATTACTGGGAGATCACAATTCATATGGATCAGTTACATTAGAGATCACAATTCATATAGATCAGTTATATTGAGATCACAATTCATATGCCTCAGTTACATGGGAGATCATAATTCATATGGATCAGTTAAATTGGAGATCACAATTCATATGGATCAGTTACATGAGAGATCACAATTATATGGATCAGTTAAATTGGAGATCCCACTTCATATGGATCAATTACTGGGAGATCACAATTCATATGGATCAGTTACATTAGAGATCACAATTCATATAGATCAGTTATATTGAGATCACAATTCATATGCCTCAGTTACATGGGAGATCATAATTCATATGGATCAGTTAAATTGGAGATCACAATTCATATGGATCAGTTACATGAGAGATCACAATTATATGGATCAGTTAAATTGGAGATCCCACTTCATATGGATCAATTACTGGGAGATCACAATTCATATGGATCAGTTACATTAGAGATCACAATTCATATAGATCAGTTATATTGAGATCACAATTCATATGCCTCAGTTACATGGGAGATCATAATTCATATGGATCAGTTAAATTGGAGATCACAATTCATATGGATCAGTTACATGAGAGATCACAATTATATGGATCAGTTAAATTGGAGATCCCACTTCATATGGATCAATTACTGGGAGATCACAATTCATATGGATCAGTTACATTAGAGATCACAATTCATATAGATCAGTTATATTGAGATCACAATTCATATGCCTCAGTTACATGGGAGATCATAATTCATATGGATCAGTTAAATTGGAGATCACAATTCATATGGATCAGTTACATGAGAGATCACAATTATATGGATCAGTTAAATTGGAGATCCCACTTCATATGGATCAATTACTGGGAGATCACAATTCATATGGATCAGTTACATTAGAGATCACAATTCATATAGATCAGTTATATTGAGATCACAATTCATATGCCTCAGTTACATGGGAGATCATAATTCATATGGATCAGTTAAATTGGAGATCACAATTCATATGGATCAGTTACATGAGAGATCACAATTATATGGATCAGTTAAATTGGAGATCCCACTTCATATGGATCAATTACTGGGAGATCACAATTCATATGGATCAGTTACATTAGAGATCACAATTCATATAGATCAGTTATATTGAGATCACAATTCATATGCCTCAGTTACATGGGAGATCATAATTCATATGGATCAGTTAAATTGGAGATCACAATTCATATGGATCAGTTACATGAGAGATCACAATTATATGGATCAGTTAAATTGGAGATCCCACTTCATATGGATCAATTACTGGGAGATCACAATTCATATGGATCAGTTACATTAGAGATCACAATTCATATAGATCAGTTATATTGAGATCACAATTCATATGCCTCAGTTACATGGGAGATCATAATTCATATGGATCAGTTAAATTGGAGATCACAATTCATATGGATCAGTTACATGAGAGATCACAATTATATGGATCAGTTAAATTGGAGATCCCACTTCATATGGATCAATTACTGGGAGATCACAATTCATATGGATCAGTTACATTAGAGATCACAATTCATATAGATCAGTTATATTGAGATCACAATTCATATGCCTCAGTTACATGGGAGATCATAATTCATATGGATCAGTTAAATTGGAGATCACAATTCATATGGATCAGTTACATGAGAGATCACAATTATATGGATCAGTTAAATTGGAGATCCCACTTCATATGGATCAATTACTGGGAGATCACAATTCATATGGATCAGTTACATTAGAGATCACAATTCATATAGATCAGTTATATTGAGATCACAATTCATATGCCTCAGTTACATGGGAGATCATAATTCATATGGATCAGTTAAATTGGAGATCACAATTCATATGGATCAGTTACATGAGAGATCACAATTATATGGATCAGTTAAATTGGAGATCCCACTTCATATGGATCAATTACTGGGAGATCACAATTCATATGGATCAGTTACATTAGAGATCACAATTCATATAGATCAGTTATATTGAGATCACAATTCATATGCCTCAGTTACATGGGAGATCATAATTCATATGGATCAGTTAAATTGGAGATCACAATTCATATGGATCAGTTACATGAGAGATCACAATTATATGGATCAGTTAAATTGGAGATCCCACTTCATATGGATCAATTACTGGGAGATCACAATTCATATGGATCAGTTACATTAGAGATCACAATTCATATAGATCAGTTATATTGAGATCACAATTCATATGCCTCAGTTACATGGGAGATCATAATTCATATGGATCAGTTAAATTGGAGATCACAATTCATATGGATCAGTTACATGAGAGATCACAATTATATGGATCAGTTAAATTGGAGATCCCACTTCATATGGATCAATTACTGGGAGATCACAATTCATATGGATCAGTTACATTAGAGATCACAATTCATATAGATCAGTATGGTATATGTGTGTGTGTGGTGTAGGCCTATATATTTGTGTGTGGGTGTTTGTGTGTATCTGTGTGTGTTTAAATGTGTATATATTTATATATATAATAACTATTATTAGGCCTATTATTATTATTATTATTATTATTATTATTATTGTTATTATTAATATTTATTATTGATGTTTTTGTTGTTAAAAAAGATGATAAAAAATAATAATTTGACAGTAGTAGTATTGTCATAGAATTATACGGATATATAAAAAATTAAAATGTGCAAAGATATTAAAAACTGGTATAAATAAAACACAAAAGTAATGAAAAGAACTTGGAAAAAAATCTTTAAAATAGAAAGAAATATTGTACTGTATTTTTTTAAAGAAAGGTAGTGGTTACGCCACGAAGAGAAAAAAAAATACAACATCATGTTTAGGTTTTATAATTGGTTAATAAGTAAATGGTTATGATTAGTCAATTTTGACGTTTGACCCTCATATCTCGAAAACACCCCTCAACCTGGCTGATGACCATAACTTTTCGGAATCTACACAAAAAATAGGTCTGGAAAAGTTGGATGAATGTGTGTCCTTCGTCGATTCGTCGAGTGTTGAAATCCCCCCCCCCCAACCTTCTGCTACTGGACTACAAGTTGATAACTAAATTAGTCATCTGAACTTTCAGGGGTCGATGTAGGGGCGGAGGAAACGGGGGCTGGCCCCATCCCGAAAGAGAGAACAAAAGAAAAGTAGGCCTAAGTAATACTCCAAAACAAGCCAATTTTCGATTTAAATTCTATATAGGCCTATCAGTTTGTCTGTGGTCAAGCAATTCTAAACAAAAATCTCAAACGCCACCTTCGCAAATATCATGGCCTCTACCCAATTATTTTCTTTCGATCCGTCACTGAATATAGAATCTCGAAAGGAATAATGGATACGTAGATAGGTTAGTCGTGTGTTTATCACATGAATCTAGGCCTAGACCTAGGCTTGGGGAGCTGATGTAGGCCTGGCGTAGGTAGGCTAACTAGGAAAGAATAGATGATTGATTTAAAAAGTAATAGTTGTAAACCAGAAGCCGGGGATGATATTATTTTACTCCATTTAAAAATTGGCATTCTTTATGCATTAATCTATACCATAACTTATATCTAGGATTTATGGCTGTACATTACAATTATTATAGTTTACCATGGTTTATTATAAGCTTATAAAGTGGAGTTGTCGTAAGAAAGAAAACCCAATTTGGCAGGATCAACACATTGGGTAGGTAAGAACTGCATCTCCATTTCATTAAACACCGACGACGAATAATATAATACCGTGATACTGTACAGTTGTGAATATATTATATTATTCATATTAAATTATTCAATTCAATTCAATTCAATCTTTTATTGTCCAATATATAAAAAAATACATTAGAAAATCTTTGTTTATACACTGCAACTTATAAAAGGTTAAAAATTAAATATAAAAAGATACACAATTAAATTTACAATTCAAATTAAGGGATTTGTTATATGATTTGTGAATACCATGATAATACATAAAAAGGTCGATTACTCACTCCATTGTAAACCTGTTGCGGTCTGCTTGGTATTCTACGTATCCATCGAGGAGACTCCATCCAAACTCTCTTGAAATTGACATACATTTCAATGTTAATGGTGTTAAGATGGTTTTGTTGGAAGCGCAATCAGAACAATTCAGGTCCAAAAAAGATTCGGCTTTCATGTTCTGTCCGATATGTTCACATTTGTACTCTTTATAGTCATCGGTCAGTTGAAAGGCAAGACGCCAGTGAACACGGATCTGTTAAATAAACAAGATCCTATCAATTTCTTTTTAAATCAATGATAACAATAAGTGATACTTATTTTACGCGCCGTGGTTTGGTGACACTCTTAGTCCAAACTCTCATAGTGGCGTTTTCGTGCGAACGTGCGCGCGACCAATTTAGGGGCGAAAATACAATTATTGGCTGGTTCCTTAGGTATTTTTAATAATAACTTTATAATCACCATTCAATGTCATATCTTCAATCTTTCATTAACTACAGGTATATTCCCAGACAGGATGAAACTTTCCCGTGTTACCCCTATCTACAAATCTGATTTAACACAAATTACCGTCCTATTTTAATTTTATCTGTTTTTTTCGAAAGATTTAGAAAACATTATATATGACAGAACTTTCAATTTCATTACGAAACATGATATTTTATATAACCGACAACTTGGTTTTAGAAAGGGATACAGTACCTCTGGCTCTGACGGATCTTATTAATCAAATTGTAGATGCGTTCGAAAGAAAATCATTTAGCTCTTGGAGTGTTCATTGACCTTTCGAAAGCCGTCGACACAATTGACCACGATATTCTTTAATCTTATTGTGGTATAAGGGGTCGGCACATAATCTCTTCAAAAGATATTTAATCTAACCGTTCTTAATACACTAAATACGCAAATTACAATTCTACTTTCTCTCCAATAACCAGTGGTGTTCTTTAAGGTTCATTATTACGTCCTCTCTTATTTAATTTGTACATCAATGACATCCACTGGTCTTCTAATTTGATCTCTTTTTCCCTCAGGCTGATGACAGAATGTTATTCTTCTAAAAATATCCATTCACGTTTTCATACTGTAAATCAACATATGATTTTATCTCAGTACCTTTAATAACAAGCTCTCTATCAACCATACAAAATGCAGTTACATCCAAAAAGATAGATTGATTGATTCATTGACAGTAGGCCTACTCTACATAATTGATAACCAGATTATAATTCATTTCAACAGTACCAAATTTGTAGGTGTTTACCTTAATATTGGACTAACCTGGCTAACACACATTGAAGATATTGAAAATAAAGTTTCCGAGAACTTAACCTTGATGTCATTCTTAGACTTTCTTCATTTGTTCCTTCAAACGTTTTACGTATTTTATATTTTTTACTAATTCTTCCTTATCTGAGATACTGTAACATCGTTTTGGGCTAATACTTACCCTTCCAACCTCATAAAACTTCAAACCATTCGAAAGAAGGCTATCATGGCTATATTTGGCACCGTAACCGTGGTTTCTCTTGTCCCATTTATTTTCTAATCTTAAACTTCTTAACCACACTTTAACAATCCATTTTCATATAATCATCTATTAACTTTCTTTATCCTAAACGCCTCTGTAATAATATGTTTATTTCTAATCTCGCTCTTCATGAGCACCACACTAGGACTAGGTCTGATCTCTCTATTTCCACCCACAAAACTAATTAATTTCAACACAATAAAAGATATTCTGGTTCGAAATTATAGAACAATTTACCTCGAACCATTATTAATTCACATTCAAAAACAAACTATCCACTACCATTAACAGAAACACTTATTGTCATGTATTAAATAGGCCTAATCATTTTACACTTTTCTTTATAACCATCTCCAACAAATCGTCTTCTAGGTCAGAGTTACTTTTTGTTGTTTTTGTTTTGTTTGTTTTATTTTTATAATTATTATTTCGTTATTAATTAAAGTGTCAATTAACAGAGTAGCAGCTGTGAAAGGGGCGATAGAAATTAGGTCATTACTTCCAACGTCTACAACAAGGATATCAGGCTTTAAATTAGAGGAGGGGCTGAAAGTTGTGAATTTCCTCAATCGTGAGGCCTGATCTGCCTAAGAGAGTAACAGAGTGAAAGTGGTTATCCACTCGTAGCTCAGAAACTGGCCTGTAATGTCCGAGGTAATCACCGGACTCAAGACCGCAGCTGTAGGCTAGGCTGTCACGTAGCCCGGTCACAAAACTGTGCCCAAAAACAACAGCAGAATACATAATTAAAAATATGCGTGAGGCTTCAGACAAATTGTACATGCACTATAAGTGAACACACAATCAAGGGAGCTAAATAACTAAGCAGATCAAGCGTGATTGGGATGATTAAAAAATATTAAAATTTACTTGGAATACAATCAACTTGAACGGATTGAAGCATGATGACAAGAGAGAGAATGTGAAGTGATCTGTCAGTCAAAACAAGATTGAGCCCTCAATCTTTTCATAATTTCAACACAATATAAGATATTCTGGTTCGAAATTATAGAACAATTTACCTCGAACCATTATTAATTCACATTCAAAAACAAACTATCCACTACCATTAACAGAAACACTTATTGTCATGTATTAAATAGGCCTAATCATTTTACACTTTTCTTTATAACCATCTCCAACAAATCGTCTTCTAGGTCAGAGTTTATTTTTGTTGTTTTTGTTTGGTTTTTGTTTTTATAAGTATTATTTCCCCCGTCTTTTTGTCCCGTCCTGTCTCGTCTGTATTCTGCCTTCATTTGTTTTGTTTTTTTTTGGCTTCCCCATCACAAGATTTTATATCTTCTCTGGCAATTGCCTTTTCCTTTGCTTTTTCCATATAGGCCTATTGTATGTATTTATTCAAAGGAAGAAAATAAATGTTGTGATGCATGGTATTTTATTCTGTTTTATTTTGAAATATGATCTGGAAATAAAGCAATAAAATTGCAATGTCACTAATGGGTAAGTTGTCAGTTTAAGCAATGAAACATTTCGCACAGTTGTTTAAATTATATTTAGGCCCAATTGAATGTTTGCTTACAAAGTTCATACCTTGGTTTCTCCAAGTTTTTCCCAGTAGAAAGTACCGCCACGATAGTGAGTAGAATACACCTCAGCCAGCATTACCACTATTGCAAAAAGCACCAAACCTCTCATGGTTGCCTAATAAGACGTAATTACTGAAAAGATAGAAATCAATGAGAGTAGTGATAATATCATCATTGTTGGTGACTTCAACGGTAAAATTGGTAATGAAATAAGTGGAGGGGATGATGCTATTAATTCCAATGGCCAGAGTTTACTTAACTTTTGTGATGATAGTGACATGAATATTCTAAATAGTAGTGAAAAATGCACTGGCATTTTTACGTGGTTTAAAAACAGTAACAAAAGTATATTAGATTATGGCCTTGTAACCAATAACCTGTATCCAAAAATTAGACGAAGAATGTTGGTATCACTTAGGTAGCGACCACAACGTAGTCATTATTTACTTAAATCATGAATACAACAATCTTGGTAATATGCATAAAAATGTTAATAATAAGACTTTTTGGAACTGTCATAAAACAAGATCAAAATTGGAGACCATTTCAGGAAGGTATCAACGACAAATTTGAAAACTGGGATCCTTCAAATTTAAATGCTAACGAAGCGTGGAATCAATGGAAAAACCATGTATTATCCACAGCTAAAAATTTCTTTGGATACAAAAAGATAAAACATGGTTCGACAAAGAAATTGAAACATTAATTAAAAAAAGAAGAGTGGCGTGTCAATCGCATCGTCATTATTCTAAAAATAAAGATTCCCCTGAATTTGACCAAGAAAGGTGCAATTTATTATGGGATGAATACCAACGTAGCCGTAAAGAATGTAAATTAATGATTAATAAGAAAATAATGCAAAGTCGTGTTAACAAATGTACAAAACTTGCAAAAAAAGGAGGGGTCCAGTGCAGTGTTTTTTGGACCATGTTAAAGGGTAATAAGAAAACCAATAATATAAATTCTGTTATTATTCCTAATACCCAAACAATAACATCAGATAAACAAACAATTAAATCATCACTAAGTATTTCAAGACCCTTGGTAATAAAAATATAATCCCTGAGGATAGCACATCCATAAACGTACTTTTAGAAAATGATTTTAATTAATGTGACAGTGACGACCAAAATAATACCGTACTTTAGATGAGCTTGACTTAACTTATGAGGCTGTTGCTGCGGCTATTGCACATTGTAAAAATAATAAAAGCCCTGGCTTAGATACCATAACAAATGAAATGTTAAAGAATGGAGGAAATGGCATGATTAGATCACTATATATTTTATTTAAAAGGTCGAGTCAACTCAAGACAATTCCAAACGACTGGAATATGGGTGTCATAATTCCAATATTTAAAAAGGGTGATCCCAAAGACCTTAGCAACTACAGAGGCATTACACTTAATAGTCAACCGGAAATACGGATTTGACTGGACAAAATTGCAACAAAACGTTTTATGATCTAAATATAAACTTAATTATATGTAAAACAACATACTAAAAGTTTACCAAAATAGGACGTACATAAAGGTGTTTTTGGACGTACATAAAGGTGTTTTTTATAACCAAAAGTTCAGCACTATTTGAAAGTAGACTTTTACACGGTACGTACTGCGGTTTTCAAACTTTTCTTGATTATGATTGGTCAACATTTAGGTCAACGTAGGTCATATCTGTTTGTTGCCGGAAGAGTGAGACCCGTGTGCGATTTTTTTTCCCGTACGAAACATTTGCATGAAACTTCACTCGGGCCATCTCGGATTGACTCGACTCGAGTTCGATACGAGGAACAAGAGCAGACACTTCGCAATGTCGTGACGCTCGAGTTTTACTTTTATTGCTCTTTCAATGTTTACCTACGGTAGGCTATGAAATTTATGGGATGTACGTGTGTAACTAACTGTGACCTTCTTGTATGTTATTAAATGTTAGTATAATATCTACAACAACAACAACAGCTAGTACCCCTCTTTAAAAAGTGTAGATAGGTACACCAAAGGCTGACAGAAAGAAGATAAAACTACAGGCCTAAAGCAGGCTGAGTTAAGTCCACCTACCATAGGCCCTCCCTAAACTAGGCCTAGGTCCTAGGCTAGGGTCCTAGGCAGACACCAACAGTCACGCTTCACATGACGTTAATTGAAATTTTGAAAAAAAAGGGGGGGGGGGGCCTTGCCGGGGTTCCCCGGGGAAATTGAAGCAGAAAAATAGAGTGCATAAGAGAAATATTATTAATAAATAGAATATACCATTCCGGCGTTATTGAACTTGGCCAAACTATCCTTGTAATGTAATTAATGTTAATTAATAACAATAATAATAATAATAATTTCAGCATTATTACCTTGGCCTAAGCCTTGTAATCAAGAACCTATTTACTAGGCCTATAACTAATAACTAGCCCAAAGGGAATATCTTTTGTGCTATTTTCCCTTAACGTCGTTTTTTTTTTAATGTTCTCTAATTTCACCATTGTCTAAGTTCCTAAGGTAGGTTTTAATAACATAATAATTAATATTAATAATAAATAATAATCATTTCGGCATTAATTAACTTGGTCTAGCCTTGTAATCAAGAACCTGCAGATACTATTTACCATATAACTAGGCTTAGGCCTCATTTATACAATTAATTGGTGCTCTGCCATTTTGGCAGGTCTTTGGCGGCATCAGTATTTTAGAGCTGCCTATTCTCAGCTCTTCTCTTAATTTGAAAATAACTGTCAGAAAGAAACGCGCTATTCCTCTTTGTGCTTTCCCCTGAAAGCGTGTATTTTTAGTAGTAGTAGGCCTAGGTAAATATGCAAAACACAGATCTAACTAAAACAATAAAAATAAAATTGTCACAGCATGTAACTCAAGTTCAAATAACACTTTCCATTACTCGTGCAGCTCAATCAAATATTTATATGTCATTTTAAACGACCCATTAGTATTAGCATGGTAACATCAATGTATTTTTTAAAAATCAGACAGCAACGTTCTTTTAGAAGTTGTTTTGCATTTTGTAGACGTTTATCTGTTGATGACCTTTTGACCTCCTGAATTCCGCAATATGAGATTTTCGGCCCGAGTCGATTCAGTCGAGACGGCCCGAGTGGAGTTTCATGTAAATGTTTCGTACGGGAAAAAAATCGCGACCCGCGTGCGAGCTTCGCGATCGCGAGGTTTGGTGGGCGAATCACAGATATATTTCTTCCGGTTTACAGGAATTACAGAGTTATAAATATTGGAAATTAATTGGAATCGTACCAGAGTTAGTTCATGTATGACCCAGACAAATTTTGCTGTAAAGTCTAGGCCTGAGGCCTTGTAATAACATCTCATTTTTAGGCCTTAGCTTAGGCATTGCTTTCTTGCTTCCCGGTTCAGTCTAGTAGTCGCGCACACCTTGAAGTGTGTCACTTTCCCCTCATCACAACGTTTTCTCGGCGGCCAACGCACGCATGAACGTATAGAGAAAATCTTAGTAACGTAGGCTATTTTCAATGTAATCTCATCAGTATCTAAGTGTAGAATGGAACCAGAAACGCATCGACCTACATGATGTAGAACTACTACTATATTTATTGTCGAGTACCGTTTTTTTTTCATTGTACAGTATCGCAAAAACTAGAGCAGTCTCAAAATCAAAAATCTTTCAACTTATATTTTGACGCCTTTTGAATTTATTTTTAGGATTCAAATCTGTATCATAACATAGGGCCTGCTAATTATTGAGTCGTTTACTCTATTCATGATACATGCATCCAATAGAAAGCTCAATATTGAAAAAAAGAATATTGGTCATTTAATTCGCATCAAGGAAAATGGGAACATAACATTACATTACTGCTGATTTCATATTGACGGTAAATGAATTTTGCATTGAAAATTATTAATATAAATTAGTTTTACTGTAACTCACTTTAGGTCAATATAAATAAAATTTTGTATTTTTGAAAACATTATACCAACACCCCTAATAACGGTACAATTTCACGCTTTGGTTTGTATCCCTTGAATATGGGTACCCTTATCTTATTTAGAAGTCCCAAAGGGCCCCTGATTAGGGGTTCTACTTTATATTGAAGTGCTGTAATGTCTTGTAACAACAATATAATTTGATAAACATACTTATTAAAGAAAATAATTATCTAAAACAGCTTTTCAATTTAATTTTCATGATTTGTTGATTTCCATCGGTTTATTCCGACCGTGTTAATTCTGACATTGGTTGATAGCACCTTTGTCATGTTTTTGATTCCATAATGCCCGCCAATTTAGCAGGCACTAAGGCGTAAATGTCTCTCAATAGTAGACAAATAAGGAGCTGAGGATGTGAATGAGCGACACAACACTATAAAACTGTTCCCTGATAAAATGTCTACTAAAACTTTATTACAAGACCAAGACAAATATTTCTATGCATTTTGTAACACAAACACTATTAAACAAACGGCGGTACAGGTCTATGGCGTAATAATATGCCAAATAAATATTAATAAAATTTCAGTTCCTTAACCTTTTTATTTGTCAATTATAAGTGTTGGACATCAACCATCTATAATTTCCATTTTTTACTTGCCTGCCTACCTCCCTCCCACCCCAATCAAAAGCGTCAGCGGCAAATCAAATTAAAGCGCTTCGTAACCAAGGCACAGCACACACATCCTAGGCAGGGCGTATAAGCCCAGTGAAATAGTTCAGTATTCTTTGCTATAAAAATAACCTTTCCCGTGGGTATATTTTGGTAAACTTTTTGTATGTTGTAGATATAAAATTTAACTATATATATTCATAAAAAAACGTTTTGTTGCAATTATGTCCAACTTTGGTGCTTCAAATCCGTATTTCTGGTGAACTCATGTGTCGCTAAGGTTTACAACCGCATTATCTCCCAAACAGTGTCAAATTTCTTAGAAGAGTTTAACGTTTTAAGTGAAGTGCAAGGCGGTTTTAGAGAGGATAGAAGATGTGAAGATCATATCTTCACACTTAAAAGCATCATTAGCACATGACAATCAGAAGGCAAAAAACATTTCTTGCATTTTTAGATTTTAAAAAAGCATTTGACACTGTTTGGAGAGAAGGGTTATTCTCAGCTGTTAGTAATATTGGGGTTAAAGGAAATTTACTCCAAATTATTAAG